AATAAAATTAAGATTAATGATATTGATCAAGAATGTTTTACTGGCTTACCTGATATGGGATTTCACCTGGATAGGCACGTCTTCCTCCTACAATTCTCGTTACTAATTTCATTGATGCACCTGTATAAGATTTGTTACTAACTCATTATATATATATTTATGAATTTAAATAAATTAAATGATTACAGACACACAGAACACATACACAAAGCTGGTCAAATTTGTCTTAGAATACTCACCATAGTCAATAGCGATCAAGGGAATTAAGAATAATAGTTGTATCATCATCGTTATTAATCTCATACGACGTTGTCAACTGATTGTTCTAAATCTGATATATATGATACACACGAAGATGTGCCTATAAAATTTAATTTGAAATTACGTAAGATTAAAAAATATGTCTTATGCTTATTAATATTTAAGATCACTTCTAATCTATCGGGATACTATCTACATTTTCTTTTCTATTGACTTCTAGTTAATTAATAAAAGATTGACAATTGTCTAGTATTATGCTACTTTCTACATTGTATACAAAATCTGACAATCGTATCAAAGAAATGTTGATAATTTATTATCTGAATGGTTTTGCAAATAAGAAATATTTCCTCTCTCTCTCCTTATCGTTGAAAATTTATCTTAATATGATCTAAAGACTTAGGATGCTCGTACGGAATGCAAGAGATCTGGGTTCGACTCCCGGCTGAGGCAATATTTTCTGCAATAAGTTTATTACAGTTTTTTAAGATTAAATTTAAGATATTTTGGGGGATTATTAATATTTCAGAATGATTGCGTTGAAAGTCCGACAACCATATTGGCACGCAATTATAATTTCTAAAATGAATTTATTTAATATGAATATACATATATAATAATTCAACATCTTAACGTTCAGATCGTAGTGGCGTTTAATATTTAAAGTAATATTTCTTACATAATTTTATTCTTTATTTGCTTTTTGCGAATGAAGTATTTCAAGTCGCACTTTGGTAAATTTCAGTTTTATAAGTTTAATACTGTTATACGTATATATATAAATAACTTCGCATCGCAAAATTACCGGTTGAATATAACATACAGTACAGAAAGTTGAATGCTAAACAAACTTTTAATGTAGAAATAATTGTGCAAATTGTCAAAGTATACTACAATTATAAACTTTAGCAATCTATAATTGCACATTTTGTAAGCGAAGTATTTTAACAATATTAAGAATAATAAGCGAAATATTTTAAGACAAAGCGTTGCGTAGATTAATTCGTGCACAATAGTTATAAACTATATAATTTAAACTTCAACGAAACCACTAGATGTCGCGCCGCGCGCCGCCCGCCGCCCATCGATATGTCTTTCTATAGGTCTGTTTTTTATGGCTGAACTAGTGTACACTTTTGGAACTTAAAGTGAGATAGATATATGTTTGATATTTGTTTAAAGCGAGAAAGAGAGTTCTATAACAGTTTAGTGCAGGAACAGAAAACAGACCATATACTACCCAGCAATATCTCACGCAGTTATGATACACGCAGTCATACATACGTGTCAATTTTTGTATGCGAAGAATTCGTCGCGATAAAGCGTCTAAATCTAATTCTAAGAACTCGACGTTGTATTATATGTTCGTGCAAATTACGTGTTTGGGAATTATTATTTCGTACGTTCGGGTTGCAAAGCTTTCATATCAAGCAAATGTTGTCACGACTTGACAGCTGAGACGCCATGTTACACTAAGAAATTGTAAAAAATATATCGATTTCGAAATTTTTGATCATTCTCAGCGTAGACTCCATTTCACAAACACGTATTAATGCGTATACTTTAATCCTGGAAAAGGATTTTCGAATCCGTCAAAGAGAAAAAGAATATATTCGCTATACAAAAATTATACGTGTTTAGTCGGTAATACAGACGTCTTTAGGATCCCCTTAAGAGATTTGTATCACGCTTTCGAGGAGTTTCGATGATGAACTCGCGGTGCTAAAGCCGATCGACATATATTAATCCGAATATTCAGGAACGAGTTTACTCACTTGCAGGCAATGTTGAAAACAAATTGAATGTGACCAATATAGCGGATAAAGGCAATGCTGAGCGACGAAATTACCCAGATAACAAAATGCCCGTACAGCGACTTTGCATATTTGCATAATAATCGTCACAATGTAATTGCGTCCTTATTTAAGGCTTATATCGCTCCTACATGTGAGTGCTGCACGTGTGCGGTGGACATATGAGGCACATATGAGTGCTCTAATTGACATTTTTATATCGCCTGCACGCATAAGTGACGTACGCGTGCAAGCGATATGAAGGTTATTTTAAAATGTATACTTCATTAACATTTAAAAAAAAGTGTTATACTTCCATCTTGGCGCTCTTGGGGTTTTTAATAAAATTTATTTTATTAGAATACATCTGAAGGATCTCTTAAAATATTGTGCCTTTTACTCTATTCTATATCGTTTCTTAAATTCTAGAAATTTAACTCGTTGCGGTAACTAATTTCTCTGGTGATGTCGCGTACTACTCGACGCACGCAAAATTTTCTATTCATCACAATTTACGGGCTGTATTTCTTAACCGATTTGATGTTTTTTTAATAGAAATACTCCGAAATAAGAAGTTCTCCAAAGAGAACTGAAAGCCGATTTTAGAGATTCTTTGTTTAAGCCAAAATATATTTATATATTTATATAAATAAAGTAATAATTAGCATTTTTCTTTTTATTATATAATCTTTTATCTAGTTACAAGCTACTTTAATAGCCTCATTATTAATAAAAATGAATACTATCTCATCATAAAAAAATAAATAATTAAATAAACATTTAACTTAATTTTTATGAACAAATTATAGATCTCCGCACATTCTCACAAATATAATTAGTCTATTATTGCTGCAATATCGAAATTTTATTATTTTATTGGAAATATTGCAACAATATTGCAAAATACTGTAATTTTAATATTTTATAGAAAATGTTGCAATTTAGATATTGTTGCAATATTACAATTTAGTAAATAAGTAGGCGGCTCCGCCACGAGAGGGATATGATTTGCGTAAGGAGAAAACGTCTTGTAGAGAAGGAGTAAAACTCGAGTTACCGAGTTTCCTAGAGATTTACAACCTTTTTTAGATGTGCTTTTTAGACATTCGAATATTTTTTTATTATAACTTTATGAGTAGGGGAGAGTGGTCTAAATCGGACATATTTGCAGTTTTTGCTCTCTATAAGGCGTAAATAAAGTCGATCGTAAAATCGAAGGTGCCATTGGAAAGATCATTTAATTCCCTTCATTTTTGCTTTAGACCATTTTGACGTATCACTCACTTGTGTTGGACTATAATGGAAAACGTAAAAATGCTTTTTCCGGTCCGATTTGAAACCAATGGGTCCATCCAAATCGGACCATCCCCTGGTTCGAATCGAAAACTTCTATTTTTATGGGTTTTAGATAAAATTTAAAAATATTTTAATATATTTTTCTTAGTATTGAGAAAAAACGAGTAATTTGACAGTCAAAGATAAAAATTTTTTCGGAAAAAGAAATTACTGACTATTTATATTATTAGAATAATATCAATCAAAATAAGCAATAGCTACAGCACAAGACGTTATTGTGAAGTCATATATCTAAAAATATATCATAACAATAATAAAAATTGTTTCGTAGACGTTTCGGTCAAAATTTGACCATCTTCAGCACAATAAAATATGATTTTCGCGTGATTAAATTAGTATAACATAAATACATTCAATTAAAAACCAGACAAACAATAAGTATTAAAATATCCGCAATTAAAAAGTCGTCATATAAAACACTTGATGAGGTTACAATGTTCAACAATCGGATAAATATTATTGAAAAAGTCGCATTAAAACAGTCGTCAATTAAAATTATATCTTGATTAATTTACAATTGTTCAATTCACCTGATGTTTATTCCTTCATACTTGAAAAAATAAGTCAATAGAATTGCCAAAATTACAGTCGTCAGTTTTATATTTTTATTCTTTCAAAATGTGATCCTTTTATTTTTGAAAAATGAAGCTTTTTGAAAAACTGTGAGAACAACGTAATTGCCAAATTCTAAATAATTTTATACCAATAATAATTAAAAGAAGAAATTAATACCAAATTTTCATTAAACCGAAAGGCGATATTAGATCAAAAATCTATCTTACCACGTATTCTGCAACACAGTTCTTTTAATATAATTAATTCAGACTTATTGTAAAAATTTTTTTAACCATTTGAGAATCTACTGCGAGAACAATTCTTGACAATGTGTGACAAACATATGACAAAAAAAAAAGAGCGACAGAATATATAAACAATTTAAGGAAATTGGAAAGGGAAGAAACGAAGAGGGGATTGTTCTTAGAAAGTAGAGAGGTAATTATCAATAATTGGAAGGTAAATTTCAGGAAATTTTTCCGTATCACTTTGTTTGTTAAGTCCACTATCTTGTTTTTTTATGTGTATCATTTCGGAAACCATTCTTTTATAATATGAGTATTCAAAATCTAGGATGGTAATACCTTCCCAATCCATCTTATGATTATAATTTTGTCTGTGCTGAGAAATGGCAGACAAAGAACTAGAACATTTCTTTATATCGTTTTTATGTGTGCTCTTTTAAACGTGTTTAATTTTCTTTTTGTCTGGCCCACATATGATTGATTACAGTCCAGACAATTTATTTTATATACCACATTAGAATGATTATCTTTTTTAATTTTGTCTTTACCAGTTTTAATGAATTTAAATAAGTAAGTTCTCGTTTAATGTCGATTTGATATTGTTAGAGTAAAAGTTACAAATATCAGTATGTAAAATAATTGCACGATATTGATGTTTAGAAGATACACTTATTATATATCTGATGTCTGGAATAACATTTAACAGGAAAACTGTGGGCATGTATATAAGTTATGTGATTTATTAAATATATGATGTTTATTTAACAATTTGCATTTGACATCCACTTTGAGCGTTTAATTATACACATAAATTTTCAATTTTCTTGTACATATCATTAAGTTTAAAAACAGATTACTATATTTCGTTTAAATTTTTTTCATATTCTTACACTGAGAAAAAAAAATTGCTGTTTCAAAAAAATATTAGTTGATTCAACTAAATGTAGCGGTCACGGACTGTCGAGCAAATATTTGTTAACTCAACTAAATATTTGTTAATTCAAACAAATAACATATTTTAAATTACAAGATTTTGTTAATCTATAATATATAAATATTCGAACTAAATAATCATTACGAACTAAACGCATTTAGTCAAGTTAACAACTTTTTTTTCTCATTGTATTTATCCAATCGATGTACGACGGAACGCGTGCATACACAGTGGGATATTCTGTGACAGTACAAATGTTAGGATAAAGTCCAAACGAGACGAGTCCTACTAGTAATCCATTGACAGTAAGAGGGCCACCGGAATCACCCTAAAAAATACATTTCTTCGATAGTTAAAAATATATTTCATAAGAATTTAATTGGAAAAACCGACAAACAATGATATTTTTTATAATTAATTAAAAATATACTTCTTTGTTAGAGCAGAGCTAGCTCATATTATTTACGTTTCTGTATTATAATTAATTTGATGTTTGATGATGATATTAAATTTTCAATCGCTGAGCTACACGATCTTATTGTCAATTAAATTAAATTATAAAACATAACGTGGATCCCCGAATATGTTAAAATAAAAAATAATCAATATATTATATTAACAATCAATATAGTATATTAAAAATGCAGCAAATTACTGTAGCAATTAAATGTTTTATGCATGTACGTATTATTAAATATTATATTAATTAAGTAATTAATTAATTGCTCATTAAAAATTTATGATAAGTGAAATATTGAAATCACGATGTGTCTCTATGTGTGTGTGATTTACGACAATTGCACTATATAATCGGACTTATCTCCTTATCGAGAATGTGTATTACAATACGCGATTAGAAGTGCAAGTGTTATATTAAGACATTATGTTTAGTAATTATTAGGAATAATTTTAGAACATATATAAATGTGGGCATTGCCTATACTTGCCCATGGCTCGCGCTGATGCAAACATGTGTGCGAAAGAAAAAGGTAGTAAGGGATAAATGTTCTCAATGCGCATGCGAAACATCACGTTTTACACACTGTGTAATGTACGAATGTATAAAAAACACTAAACCAACTGCACAATTCACACAGATGACGGTGCTGCGAATGCGCATTGCGAACATTTATCCCTTACTACCTTTCTCTCTCGCACAGATGTTGGCTTCACGTTCAGCGCCCTATTTCTCTTCCATTTATATATGTTCTAAGGGAATAAAGGTGAATTGGACCTTTATGTTGGAAGAATAATGCAGGTTAATTAATTTACCTGAACAGACATCGTATAATTATACATATGATCGACAATTAATAACGGTATATTGCAATGCCTTATGTAAATAGCTTACCACGCATGCACCTTTTTGTATGGTTGGATCATTTGCGCAGATATGCGTATCCTCAATGGTTATATTTGCTGCTGTATCATACAATTCTCTACAATAAGCCTGATTAGTTATGATATTGTCTACAACGTATAAATGTCCATCAGACTCCTCTCCTTCAGACTGCAAATATATAAAGTACAAATGTTCACGTATAATTTATGAGAGCAATTTGAGATGGGATTCTCGAATATCTAACGCCTAAGAATCTGAAATGATTGAATTAATAAGACACTTACAGATATTATTCCGAATCCCGATACTTTTGCTTTCGAGCCTCCCTTTACAGTTTGATTTTGTTTCGGTAAATCGACAGGACATATCCGAGAAGAAAATTTTAATGGCTTTTGAAGCTGAAAATGAATCTTTTGTATACTTTTTTGCGTAGTCTTAATTTACAATATAATTGCTTAATTCACAATTTAATTGAAATTATATGGAATGAATGTTGTTATACTACATGTTATCGTTACCCTAAGTAAAGCGATATCATCGGTGAAAGATGTACCGAACCCTTCGTGTACGAAAATAGACTGAACCAGATGCCTTGAATGCGGTTTTCGTAGATCTGTTGTTCCCGCAATGACCAAAAACTCCGAAGGGTATGCACTGTAAAGAATATTACAAGGAGCATTTTTTTTATACAGGGTGTTCAGCGTAACGGTCCGCACAATTTTTTAGACACTTTCAGACTCTTCAAGTTGAAAGATGAATATTCATTTATTTTATACAACCTATAACATGCGATGAAAAACATTTTATGAACAAAATATAAAAAATGTTTTTCATAAATAACAGACAACTTAAATTTTTTAAAGAACATATAATTCTTTTCCATAATATTGTAGGGGTCTTCAAGGTGAATTTAACTCGACCATCGAGGAAGTCATTTTTATTGATGTTTTGATGATTTTATTGATATCAGACATGCAACATTTGTAACAGCAGCACATACATCTCTGATTAGAAATGTACACAAATGGATATTTATGATATATACATATTATGTATTAATGTAATAAGATATGCAATAAAATCAATAAAACATTAATAAACAAAATTTCGATAGTGATTTAATTTCGTATTGAAAACCTCTATAATATTAAGAAAGAAGTTGTATGGTACTATTTAAAAAATTCAAGATGGCTTTCATTTTTTTATGAAAAAAATTTTTTTAATTTTTTGTCGCATTTTGTAGCCTGCATAAAATAGATAATTAATCTTTCAAATTTTTCTCTTTACTGTCAAAAATGTCTAAAAAATCGTGCGGACCGTTAAGTTAAACATCCTGTATATATATACATATATATAGATGTATAGTTTATTTTTCCGAAGTGTTTCTTGAGATTTTCCTACTTACTCAAATACACAGTGAGCAGCGGTTAGCACGTAATACTTGTCAATTATAACTCCACCGCATAAATGAAAGTTATTTCCAATTTGCAGAGAAACCTGAATTATTAAATGCACACACACACACACACATGTTATGCAGAAGAATATAAAAATTTCTATTAATATACATCTAACCTTACAAATGATATTGTCAGCTTTAAATTGCTGAATGAAAGTAGTTAATTAATTCCTCGACCAAACTCAAAAAATTCAGGATATATTTTTAAACCTAAGCAATTAATAAAATTAAAATTAATAATATTGATCAAGAATGTTTTACTGGCTTACCTGATATGGGATTTCACCTGGATAGGCACGTCTTCCTCCTACAATTCTTGTTACTAATTTCATTGATGCACCTGTGTAAGATTTGTTATTAAATCATTATATTTATGAATTTAATTAAATTAAATGATAACACACACACACGCGCGCGCGCGCGCACACACATATACACAACACATACACAAAGCTGGTCAATTTGGCTTAGAATACTCACCACAATCAAAAGCGATCAAAGGAATTAAGAATAATACTTGTATCATCATCGTTATTAATCTTATACGACGTTGTCAACTGATTATTCTAAATCTGATATATATGGTTCACACGAAGATGTGCCTATAAAATATAATTTGAAATTACATAAGATTAAAAAATATGTCTTATGCTTATTAATACTTAAAATCACTTCTAATCTATCGGGATACTATCTACATTTTCTTTTCTATTAACTTCTAGTTAATTAATAAAAGATTGACAATTGTTTAGTATTATGCTACTTTCTACATTGTATACAAAATCTGACCAACGTATCAAAGAAATGTTGGTCATTTATTATCTCAATGATTTTGCAAATGAAAAATATTTCCTCTCCTTATCGTTAAAAATTTGTCTTACATAATATGATCTAAAGACTTGGGATGCTCGCAAGGAATGCAAGAGATCTGGGTTCGACTCCCGGCCGAGGCAATATTTTTCGCAATAAGTTTATTACAGTTTTTTAAGATTAAATTTTGGAAATTTGGAGGCATTATTAATATTTCAGATTGATTGCGTTGAAAGTCCGACAATCTTATTGGCACGCAATTATGATTTCTGAAATGAATTCATTTAATATAAATATATATAGTAGTTCAACATCTTAACATTCAGACCGTAGTGGTGCTTCATATTTAAAGTAATATTTCTTACATAATCTTATTCTTTATTTGCTTTTTGCGAACCAAGTCGCATTTTGGTAAATTTCAGTTTTATAAGTTTATTATTGTTATACATATACACTACCCCCGAAAAGTTTCC